GCACTAAGCATTATGCCTCTGCCTGCAGTGGATGGCACAATGAGGTTTGAGTGAAATTGGGCCTTATACTTGGGTCTGGTTACCTTGAACTCCATCTTACTCGGCTTCTAAAGCTGTCTAAAAGTTCAATAAATTCATTAGTGGTTCAGAAACACTAGTAGTTTGAAAATTCTCAAATTTATTATTTTTTTCCTTGTTAAAACTTTAAATTTCAAGTTTTAAAATTTGAGGATGTTACATATTCCTAGCTTGTGAAGTGAATATTGTTAATTTCTTTTTTAATAAATATTACTAAGCATATAAAATATCTATTAATTTGAAGCGCTCTCGAAGGCCAAAAATAAATGCTTTCATAGGGTTATTTTATAGTAGTGAAAGTTTTAAGAATTATATTTTAAGAGAATTATTCAGCATTTTTTTTAATCTTAAATACGGTCTCTTTATTAAAAATGTTTGTCGTTTTTTAGTGTTTTTACTTTTTGAAATGATCTTCATTTTAGAATTTTTATGAAGCATTACTTAATTATTTTTTTTCTGTTTTTTTTCCCTTCATTATTGAAGGAAAGGAGCATTCAAGATAATACCCCCATAAAAGTAATGAGAATATTTTAGGGTATTTTAGTACAAGTTATTATACATCTATATATATAGTTATTATAAGTTCTTTTAGGTTGACTATATTTGAAAAAAAATGACAAGATAAGTGAGATAAAATTAATAAGAAAACAATGATAATAGTGAGTTTGGATATTTTTTCTTCAGTTGACACGGAAAAATTACGCATTCATTAACATTACATTTTATTGCAAGAAAAAAAGACAGTATATTTTATTGTAATTCGGGTAATTTAATCCCTGTTCCTGGTTTGCGAAAATATCTATAAATATATATTTTGCAACTACCAGCCAACTATCCTAATTTTGAGTTCGAGAAACTCGCCGAGTGAACCTTTGATTTGGTGGTGAGAGCAATTTGCTTTCATCTCCCATGTCTTGAATTCGACTAGGGAGTGATGACATTGAATTGAATTAGTGAAACTCCTTGCATTTACCAAATCAAAGTCAATGGAGTTTGTAAATTGATTTTTTTTTATCTTTATATACTTGAATTTTTTGTTACCAAATTCTGTTTTTATATATAAAAGAAACTATTATTTCTTGTTTCATTTTTATTTGTAAAAAAAATTAAATATTTTAATAAATCATTATATATAAAAAATCATTAGTTACAAGGGCAGAACTAGACGTATGTCAAGGGGGGCCATGTCCTCCCCAAACCTGTCCACCCCTGCATAAACTGTTAGCGGTCTAGTTTTTTTAGGGTAATGAAAAATGATTTTTTTAACATAATTTTAATTAATAAAAAATTCTTTTTGTAACCAGTCACACAAACCAACCAATACTAACACACATAGATTTATGTGATTTCGTGGGAATTGTAAAATTGCCGTGCTAAATTAAATATAAATGCAATATATATATATATATATATATATATATTGCTATTGGTTCATGGTTATTTATGATTTATATTTATTATTCTTTTTGATAGAAAAAGGAGCCAAACTTAATATTTGAGTTATTTTTTTAAATATTTATATTCAATAGGTTAACATATACCTAGTTCTTTAATTTTATATAAAATTTTATTTTAATTATTTAATTTTATAAAGTATTTTTTTTGTCCTCTAATCTTAACACCATTAATTTTATTAACAAAAAATTCCTACATTAAATTTTTAAATGCTGATAAAACAATTTTAAGTAGTTGACATATTAAATTTAATTTTTTTAAATAACAAAGGTTGACACAAAATCATCATTTCAAACAAAAAATGTTAAGATAAGAGGAATAAAAAATATTTTATAAAATTGAAGAAACAAAATAAAATCTTATATTAAATTAGAGGATAGTTATACTTTAGTCTCTTCATTGTGTAAGTCTTTTTTAACAAAATTTGGGAATCGCACATCTTTTTAAATTGATATGTTATACACACACACGTGAATACACCAAACTGTATTAAAAATGTAATATTTTTATTTATTTTTTATATTTATTTTTTAAACTAAAATAATTATGTATGTTTAAAGTATTGTTATCTTATAATTTTCAAATTATAAAATTATTTTGATGAAATCACTTATTTTAATTTTTTTAAAATAAAAAGCTATTGATATAGTACATGTTGATGTTTTTCTATAAATTCCCCCCTCCCCAGTTTGCACCCTGGTTCTGCCCCTCATTAGTTATATACTTTACATAACTAATGTATACAGATTTTCTTAAACAAGTATATAAAGATTTTTATTTATAAGCAAAATTATTAGTTTCTCTTAAATACAAGAATATTTTAGTTAAGTTTTTTCATTTTCAAATATAATTATTATTATTAAATGATCTTTTTAAATTGTGATATAGTTTTTTATATATATATATATATATATATAGAAACAGAGGTGTATCCTTCAATCCCAAGTGAATAACTAATTCTTTTCAAAGTATAGAGATTAATCTTTAAAGAAGAAAACATTACCTATGCTGATAGAGTGTCATTTTTATTATATCTCTTTTATCACGAAAATTGACTCAACTATTGTTACAAGGCAATGCCAATTTGATGGATATTCCACCCTTATTTTCCCGTTTTCATGCCTCATCTCCATGTCCTGGACTTGTCCTACACAAGCATCAGGAAGTTACCAAGTTCTCTTTTTAGTTTAGGGGAGCTTGGAGAATTGCATCTAAAGGGATGCAAGCGCTTTAATTATCACCAGAAATTGGACAACTTAAGAATCTTGGGATTCTTGATCTTGATAGTACTCCAATTACATGTATTCCAGAACAGATTCGAGAGTTGACAGGGTTGAAAAAGTTGATCTTATCTTTTTATGCTTGTCATGACATGACGAAAAGCCTGCATTATCCAGTTCCTCCTGGGGTGATATCTAAACTGACTCAATTATATTGCTTTATTTAAGCATTGATGTCAATCCTGGCAACATGCAGTGGGGTGAAAGCATTGCAGTTATAATACGCGACATTTCTAAATTAAAGAAATTGAATTCTTTTGAGTTTATATATCTCGCAGGTTAAGCTTGTGAAGTATGTCCCAAAGTGCTTTAATTTTAGATATGTTGCTGGTAATCATATCCAGAAGAGAATCATATCATGTGTACCACCTGCAGTTGAGCCAAAACTCAAGCAAACCAGTTGCAGCTTAAGATTTGTAAATGGTGTGGACATACCAACTGAAATTTTTGAGGTTATCCAACGGAGTGGGGCTCTTTTTTTTAGAGCGACATAGTACCATCAAGAATCTTTCTCAATTTGATATGGGGTGTTTATTTCATTTGTAATCATTCATTGTGGGAGAATCTAATGAAATGGAAACATTAATTGATGAGGGAGGTTCAGTTTCTTCGGATTTGTGTTGGAGATTCTTGTGCTTATTCTGTATGAACAATCTTAAGAAGCATTTGCCAAGCGGAAGCCTCTTTTCGCTAGTTAAATACTGTGGCTTTCCACGATTGGCCTAAGCTAACGAGTATTTTCACATTGAATTTTCTTGACAGTTTTGTAAACTTGGAGGAGCTAATAGTTGAAGATTGCCCAAAAGTAAGGACCTTAATAAGTTGTGAGTCATTTGAATCTAGAGGAGGGAGTGTCCTTCCTCGTTTGAAGAAAGTATCACTTCTTTATCTTCTTGAATTAATTAGCATTTCAAGTGGATTGTGTATTGGGCCAAGTTTAGAAAGAATATTATTTTACGACTGTCCCAAACTCCAGATTCTTTCAGCTAAGGAATTTCCGAGCAAAAATTTAGCAGTCATCAAAGGAGAAAAGGAGTGATGGGACGATCTAAGATGGGAAGAATCATAGTGGGGAAAAGAAGGCTGTCCAGATTATTTGCATCAATTGTTTATTGCTATCAATGAGGAGACTGACATCGTTGATCCATTAATTGAAGTTGAAGAATCTTTGGTATCGAAAGAAAAGGAGGTTTGGGTAAGAATCTTTGGTTTCTGATTGTCATTTTGCAATTAATTACTCTGGGTTTACTTGTGCAAAACTGCACAACTTCGGTAAATTATACGATAACTAGATGCGTTTTTTTACACATTGAAATATGTGTAGTGGAGTGTGCATTTTATAAATCGTGGGTTTTAAATTTTATGGTGATGATTTATATTGATGCCCTATTGATATTGATTACTACTTTTGTACACAAATTAAATTTGATATAGATTCTAAATTTTATCTTGATGATTTATATTGAGTAACACTTTTGTAAGCAAATTTTAAAATGTTGCACTTCAATTTTTTTAAATTTCTTAAGAAGTGGAAGCCTTATCTTAAATATCTTATCATCACATGAATTTTTTTTAAATGATTAAGGAAATTTAAAACAGATGGTGGCGGGATATATATATATATATATATATATATATAAAAGCATATCTACTTGTTAATTAAAATTAGGGAGAATGATAATTAAGTCCCAAAACTCTAAATTAATGACAGTTAAGTTTTCAATTTTTTTTAAAAAATAGTTAAAAATATTGATCTAGATAATTATAAATTTACTAATTTTAATTGTAAATAAGTATTTAAATATTAAATATAATTCTTAAATTGTAATAGAATTTTTTTTATAATTGTTTAAATTAATATTCACAATTAATTTTGTCAGGAATTTATTTATTATTAATTCAATGTTTTGAAATTCAATTGTCATTCTCCCTTAAAATTAAATACCTCGAATGATGAAAGATTCAGGGAATAGAGTTTGCAACTTATTTCAGGTTGAGAATATTGATAAGAAGACTGACATATTTTCAGCTTCTAATAATGAAAAAGATGGCAATGGATCCTCCAGATCCAATAACAGAGAGACTTCGGTATCTCATCTTTTACTTCCTTTTTACTTTATTATTTTTTTTTCATTATGAAAAATTATATAAATATGTGAATTTTCTTGAAGTCTAAAAGATGCATTACAATTACAATTATTAAAGAATCTTGACTCAAACAACACTTCTACGGTTTACTGGAAACAAGGAGGCCGTAATAATACCTTCATCAGCGGCAGATGACGCCGAACCTGGAAATAAAGAAAGAGACTTCGGTGAGGCACCTTTTCTTTCTCTCTTTCTTTCTAGTTTGCCTATTAATTTCTCTTCCTCTCTATTGTTTTCTTTTCTTTATTCTTTATTCTTTTGTTTTTTGTTTTTCCTGGCCTGAGTGCCTCAGTAGCAATTTTTTCAGTCCGTCATATACCCTTGGTTGAGTTTTGACCACTCTATCTCTTAAACTTCAGGTTGTAGATCTTGAGAAGGCTGCTGTTCATGATGATTATAAAGATGAAATTGCTCCTAATCCTGTGGCTGTGGACCCTCGTCCTGGATTAGATTTTGAGCAATTAAGGTATGAAGCCCAGCATCGGTGGCTGAGGCCTTCTGAAATCTGTGAAATTCTCCGAAATTATCGTATGTTTGCAATCACTTCAGAGCCTCCGAACAGGCCCCCAAGTGGTTCGCTCTTTCTTTTTGATCGGAGGGTGTTGATAATCTTTAGAAGGGATGGGCATAATTGGAGGAAGAAAAGCGATGGGAAGACTGTGAAGGAAGCTCATGAAAGGGTGAAGGTGGGAAGTACTGACGATGAATTGTATTGCTACTATGCCCATGGGGAAGAAAATGAAAAATTTCAGAGGCGAAGCTGTTGGATGCTTGAAAAGGACATTATGAGCATAGTTTTGGTCCAATACTTGGAAGTAAAGGGTATCAAACAAAAGCTCAGATCTCCATCTCCATCAAGAGGTACATATGCCATGAGCTCAACGAGTACTTTGTCTTCCTTACATGATGTTGATTCAGAAGATTCCTAGAACAGATTACACCCCACTAGTTCAGCGAGATTAAATCCAGAGGAAGCGGTGGTTTGTCTCTCGTACGTTGAGAAACGGTGCACGCCATGGCATCCTGGGACGGTGTCTTGTGCCAATGTACTGCTAAATACCTAAATCACATCCCATCCTGATCTGTTATGGAGGAGGCAGGATATCTCAGTCCTTATCCTTCCTTCCTTCCATCCTTCTTGCACATCACGTCTTCATAATCAATCAAGTGCCTGTTTCGATAGGCAGTATAATCAATTCTACCCGCCAAAACACCTCAATTTTTTTTTAAAATAATTGATTTTCCTTCTAGAACTCTGTTTTATCTTAAGTAATCTGTAACTATTTTTTATAATCAATTATTGCATTTGATTCCATTATTATTTGTCATAATTTTAAATATATCAAAGATATCCTTAATCTCTAGCGAAAGATGGTGCATTTTTTATTGCCTCAAAACGATGGTATTCAAGTAGGATTTTTCAAGACTTTGACCAACATGATAAATATAAACATAGAAAAAAAAAATATGGGATCTTAAAATCAAAACATATATAGCAGATTGTGATGAAGATTGATATGGATAAAAAATCTTATCAATATTATAATATAATGTAATTTTAAATTTTTATAAAAGATTCTTCTATTTTAAATATGATTTTCAAATACAATTTACATAATTAATCATATATATGTTAAATATTATATAATTATTAACTAGATTACTATTATACATATTTTATTTGTTAAATAGAACTTAACAAATTTAATAATATTATATACACTTACATTAATATTTATATCTTAAAAGATAATATTATTTATGGTAATTTAAATATCTAAAATTAATTTTAACTAAATCATCTGAACATTTTTAATTCTGTCAAAATCAATTTCAGGAAAAGAATATTTAAACATGATCACATTATAATATAATTAATTTATAATAAAAATTAATTATATTAATCAATTTGTTCATAATTATTTATATCAATGGGTCCCTAGAATTTATAGGGAATTGTTAATCTTGCTACACTAATTTGTAATAAGTTGGATAATAAAAGTTAGCTGAGTCAATTTTATCTCTCTGTTACTTTATGCTTTGTCGGCAAGTTATATTTCTTTTTTTTTTTTTTTACCGAAAGTCATATTTCGTTTTTTGATAATACAGATTCATTCAAATCAAAATATTAGAACCACATCCTAACATCAGCCTTGCTTCATCCTTTGTCATCCATTCTCCACAACGAAGAGGGAGGACAGTTATATTTAAAATGACAAAGCCGATTTGATAAAGATGAATTGAATCTTTCAGATCCAGCAACCAGGAGACATCATTTTGAAAATGTTATAGGTATTTTGCTCATAATTTTAAAAGTCAATGTTAATAGTCACAAAGTTTATTATTAAGATAAAAGTTTCTGTTAAGTTTTACTGCATTATCATATTTTAAAAAGATTGAGGTCAAATTTTAAGATAAAAATAATTGAAAATATGCTGATTATTTTCATTAGTAGAAAATATTTTTCTTGATGACAGATGATGAATGATGCAAAACAGGAAGAATATCAATCAGGTACTTTGAAAAGACATGATTGCAATTAAGACTCAGTTTTTATTAATCTTTTTTCATTTGTATTGCTAGGTCCTTTTTTTTTTTTGTGAATGGGCTTTTTTCTGTTTATTAAAATAGATCATATATTCAAAGTAGCGAGATCATGTTTAATTTAGTTAAACAAGAAGAAGACATTATGATAATTTTAGTTGTAGAGATTAAAGTAATTTTTTTTGAAAATTATAAAGGATTTAATTATAAATTGTTTAAATCATAGGCACTAGATTAAAATTGAGAAAAACTATACAGATGGAAATTATATTTTCACTTTAATTTAAAGTGTGTCTACTTTTTCCCCCCATTTTTTCTTGATCAACTGCTGAATCACCGTCAAGATCATTCAGTTGAAACACATGCTGTAAGGATGGTCGAATTGCTCAACAATACCTGACGGAAGCCTGGACAAGGTTCCAGTTGAAAATAATAAAGATGATATATATCAAGACTGAGGATCAGTCCTCTAATGATACTTCAAAGAAATCACAGATAAAATCAGAGAGGCGCGCAGACTGGTGAAAACGACTAAGAATTATTTGCATTAGAACAAAAGGAGAGAGAATTCTAAGAGATTTGGCCCAATGATACTTTAAAAATGAAAGGAAGTTGAGGACCTGGCATTAGATATCAGGTCATTTGTTCAACGTTCATTCATATCGGCACACCTGCATTCTAAGAGATTTATCTTTTTCTCGAGGAGAGAGAACAAAGATTTGCTAGAAAGAACAACACTTGCACATAATTCTCCAATGCTGATTTAGTTATAACAATCTGAAATTAACAGAACCTTAATATTGAATCATCAGCTTAAATGGATCTGGAAGTCCGAGCAGGGGGACATTCGCTGCATACTACCGTGGCTTTTAGAGAATGTGAAAGATAAACCTCAAGAACTTGCACTAGAGAAAGTAAGCGATGCTCATCCTTCTTTCGGTGGATGAAAAGAAGTTTACTACAACATTTTCATGTTAAAAGCTAGTGTAAAAAGTATTGACAGATATGGTATAAGATGACAATTTATTTATGATTTACTGCACATATTTCACGTGACTGAATTTTTAATTCTTGAAGTGACAAAATCATAATAGATATAAATTGGCCAATGGCCATGAGGTTAAACTGAAGTGAGAAGAGTAGAACATCAACTGATATTTTCAACAAGCTCTATATCGTCAACATTTTAAATATTAAAGTAATACAGAACAAATTACAACAGTCGTGGTAAAGTAACAAAACACATATTACAGCAGTCATATACTTCTTACAGTTTACAGCAGTACCAAACCACACTAGGATCTAGGAATGTAATAGTCCATGAGAAAGGCACAACTAGTCTTTCAATTCATACATCAATAAGTACAACAAAGAAAAATGACTAATGCTCACTTGAGGCTGCAAATGCATGTTGAAAATGCTCTTTGTCCGTCCAATGCAGTTCATCCCACCATTCTTGTTCACCTTTGATAGATCTCAGGTTGGTTGCCTTCTCCTTGCTAAAAGGCAATGATCTCAATTTTGAGCATTTATGTATTTTAAGGACCTCCAGTGAGGACCACGGCAATGTCTGATCTATGCACACAGATCTGAATCTTGGCAAATTTGCCAGCACTAAAACCTCTAATTTGGGAAGCATGACGCTGCCAAGATCAGCCGCTGCAACGAGTTCTTCAAAATCTGAACAGTTTTGAACTTCTAGGATATGAAGTTCTGAGAAATGTTGAATAGCTCCATCACCAAAAATGTATTTCAAAGATGAGCAATCTTTCAATGTTAAAGCCCTTAGTTTGGAAAGGGATTCCTGATGCAAGGGACCTCCAAAACACAACTCAACCTGGGCAAATTTATCAGGTGCAGTTGCTCAAGATTTGGAAGGATGCTTACATGTCTTGTGCCATTCACAATTCCTGGTAAAAGGGTATGAATTTCAATGCATTTCTCAATCAGAATACCACGTATACGCTTCAAGCTTTCTGCTCCAAGGTTTGACAGGTCTCTGATGTGGTTACAGTTGATCAATTCTAATGCATCAGTTTGGGGAAGTATAACACTAATTGCAGGAGTGTCCTCGCAGCCGCCATTGTTGTATCTTAAATATTTGGAAATTCTGTACTCAAAAGATTCAAGAATTGAAGGACGCTTAGAGTTTTGACATCCGATGAAGAATCGGAATGAACTGAATTGCTTTCCAGATCTCCTTGTTAGAAGATTTTCAAGAATATTTGAAGTGGGAAAACTGAACCTGAGGTTGGTTAGATTTTCCAGAGAAGCCAACTGCTGCATCACATTCGCAGCATCATTACACCATTCCTGGTAGGAAACCACTTCAATTATCAATTCTTCTAATTTTTGAAGCCTTGAGAGCGCACCATAATCAGCATTGACAGCGGGATCTTCACTTTGATCTACAATTTTAATGTATGGGATTCGCAAGCACCTTAAATTGGTCAAGTATCCAATATCAGATGATAAGAAGGCCACTTTGGTTCCGCGAATGTCAAGGAATTCAAGCCGTTCAAGTGATCTTAATCCACAATTCAACAATGTCAGATGCTTACAATCATTAAGATACAGTCCTCTTAGACCAGTCAGCTTCGATACAGATGATGGAAGACTTTTAATTCCAGTACCATACAAATCTAACACCAGCAGATTTCTCATATGCTTCTTGAAAAATGTTCTAGGAATTGTAGATAACTCTGGATTCTTCTGCAACAATAACGTCTTGAGCTTACTGCAATCTTGGTCTATTGGTAAAGCTTGCAAATTGCTGTCAATCAAAGATACCCACTTAGCATTTTGCCAAGATTTTGATGTTTCAGGATCCCCAAGTTCCTCTCTAGCATGGACATAAGTACTACACTCAGGATATTTAGAAGATATATATGATGCAAGTTGTTTCATACAACCATTCATGCTGACATATATCATTTGTTTTCCTTTTTCTAGTAATGAGACATTAGCGAGGTGCTCTAGTATTGCATAACCACGATCACGTGCATTTTGGTACTTTCTTATACCATTGACATCACCAAGGAAGTCCTGAGCCGCCAAGCATTCCACCAAATAATCACTGTAAACCTGGCTATCAGCCGGGTACAATGAAGCATACAGAAAGCATTTCTGTTTCTTTTCATCTTTCAACTCATCATAGCAGAATGTCAGGAATGAGTACAACTCATTCACACCTTCATTTTCATAATCTGGCCATCGTTCTTCGAGATCTTCCAGCCCTGCCCTCCAACTTGAAGCACTCCCTTTCAATTTGAAAGAACGTGCTATCTTATGTATTAGTAGTGGAAGACAAGAACACTTGTCACATACACGTTGAGCAATCTCTGGAATGTCTGGCCGGTCAATTATAGGACCAACAGTATCTCGAAACATCTTCCATGCCTCAGCACGAGATAATGGCTCAACTTTGATCAACCTGTCTGCTTCATTCAAGGTACAAACTTGTTGATGTTGAGCAGTTACCACAACCTTACTATAAATGTCATTGTTTGGCATTCCCAGCTGACTCAAATCAATAGAGTCCACTACTCCATCCAAAATCAACAAATACTTCTTATTCTTCAGATCTTCATGGATTTTTCGAGCAATATCTTCAGGGTCATCGATCCCTTTGATGTCCACCTTCAATCGCCTTGCAATTTTTTGTTGGAGTTCAAGATGAGTCTCATCATCCGAGACTCTCACAAAAATGACAATATCAAACAACTTGGCAACCTCTTCATGATTGTTCAAATTGTGCATTATTGCTGTTTTCCCCACCCCTTTCAACCCATGAACTCCAATGGCTTTTATTTTACTATTTTTGACCAACTCCAGAACTTTTTCTAGTGCACCTTGTAGGGTAGGATAACCTACAATATGAGGAGCGTTTAAAATTTTTAAGACACGCTCTGGAGGCTTGTCAACTTGAAAAACCATAGAACTTTTCTTTTTAACTAGTTGCTTAATTGCAACAATCATTTTTTCCATCTCTGAAGACAGACTTGGTCGTAGCCAAAATCGGTTTGAAGTTTTCATTTCTTCATACTTGGTCAACAAATCATTCACTTCTTCATCAACCTCTGATGCCTCAGTGATCCATAAGCTGTAAGAACTTGTGGTAGCTTTCTCTCTACTTCTCTGAACTTCACTCTCTATATCATTTCTCAGGACGCGTAGCAACAGCTTTTCTCGCTTTAAGTCTTCATATTTCTCTTCCAAATCAGCAAAAGCCCGAAGCGTGTCTGTCACTGTTTCTGTTGAAACCTGCCATCCAACCTGCTTGACCAGCTCGCCTGCTATCTCTCCAACAGCAGAGACAGTGTTTCTGATCCCATTCATGGCGAAACTTCAAATTCCTAGAATGATTAGTGATTCAACAGAAGATGTTAACGAAGATACGTGTGGTATATCGAATTCTACACAAGATCAAAACATGTTACTTATTCATTTCATTTCACTGTGATGTGTTTGTACACGCATATGCACGCACGGAATATGTGTGCGCGCCTCAACCCAAATACACACAAATAGTATAATACGATACCGAACAGTTACTTCTAAATTTCTATAACTGTTTTTTTCTTGCATAAAAAATATAATCAATCTACGAGCTTCACAAATACTATCGACGAATGTTATAGGAATCCATTCAATAAAACAGAAATTTCGGGGTTATAAGGAAAGGAATCATATTGGAATATGCAAGACAGACAAAAAATTACAATTTCAACGCAAGCATTCTAGTGATCATATTTCCAGCTAGTGGAGGACAAGAGTCTGACCAGGGGAGTTTCAGAGTTGTTCATCTTAGTAGAAATCAAGCTCCTAAATCAATTTCAAACGGAAAAATAGAAGAGGGCCAACAAAGAAAATCAAGGAAATGCTTTAATTAAAATCTTATGAAGAAAATAAAGAGTAAAGAGTAATTATACCTGGTTTGGACCACAGATGAAATGATGAAATCCACCGGTTTGAGATAGATAGTGATTCTGAGCGATCACAATTCACAACTCGGGTAGATCAAGAAAAGACAAGCATAAATTTTGGGTCAACGCACGAAACAGCAAGGAAGTCAGCCTAACAATGAAACGCCGCCGTATCACGAAATGTAAAATGCAACAAAAACATGATCACTTACGGATGGGTTTGGACCTTGGACTTGGGATGATAGGGTTGGGATCTCGTATAGTAGGCCATTTCATAAATAATTAAACAATTAAGGGAGAATTAATGTAAAGTCCCATATAAATTATTCTAAGTCATGTTTTACTATAATAAAAAAATATATTAAATTCATCTTAAAATTTAACAATTTTTCACCTCTCTTAATGAGAATAAAAAAATTATTTTTAATAATTGATGGGACTTTTAGGTATTAAAATGTTTATAAGGGATTTTATAATGCTTTTCCTAATAATTATGAGTAATGACACATCTCTAACCGAGCATTAGCAAGCACTGAAATTTAGAATAAGAAGGGTGGAACGCAAGTGCTTTGAGGTGGCTGCAGAGGGCGAGTCCTCTGATCACTAGATCTCGACTCAACTGGCGGAGTCTTGGGCTTCATCGACTCGAGCCAACATACACCTCGTCTCATCATCGCTGCCTGTTACCTGGTTTGAGTTTGTCTTTATCCATATTTCTCTTATTTTTCTTCACTTTTAACTTTCATGCTTCATTTATGATTTCTAATAACAATTAAAAGAAATATATATATATATATATATATCAATAATTCACAAAAAATTGATGTCATTTATATTTGACTTGCCCCTCTCTCTTTTTAGGCGTGTTTTCTCAATCAGTTCTGTTGGCAAAAAATAAAAAATAAAAAAATAATTAAGTGTTTAGATCTTACATTTTATCCTTGACAATAAAGAGACTTCAAACACGCACTTCATTTTTGTGAATTTGTCCACTAATTTGTAGAACTGCGTTGTATGCATGGATCAGGAAAAGGTTAATGGCACTAGTGAAAATTGATTTTTAATAATAGCAAAAAAAATGAAGCTCTAAGGAAGCATGTTTTCTTTATAATGAAAAACAAAATATCATCAGGTATTAATTACATTTTTCATATATTATCTCTATTTAAACACATTAAGAGAGAATGTAATATAATTTTGAATTTTTTTTTCGTTTAAACATGGGTAAAAGTGAGAGTTTTTTTTTTTTTTAAGACAAAGTTAATAACTTAATCACATATGCTTAATTCCGACGAGATAGTTACGGGTGGGAACCAGAAACCTGAAGAGACTTGAAAAATTATTCGGTCCTTGTTCTTATAAGATATTCTGTGCAGTAAGAAATTTGACAAAAATATTGGGTTTGTTCTTCAAAAACATTCCTTGGGAGTTATAATCAATGGAATCATTTCGCAGGAAAACACAACAGTTCATTTTTGGGGTCCGATGGAGATGTCCTACGGCATCATCAAATCACCTACATTGCCCAGAAAGCATTCAAATTTCATGAGGGAGCAGAAGAAACCACTGTTGAGGCTAGACAGAATAAGAGATGTCGTCAGCCTCTGGTTGAGTTATCCTATGAGAACAGTGCATGATAGCAAACTTGAGACTTGGATTCATCGACTTTCAAACGCTCATGATTCAGTAGCAGAAAAATACAGTCTAATCCAGAAGGACCCGCTTCATTATTTGGAAGGACTTGTACCAATAGAAATGATGATGGAGAATGAGACAAAAGCGGGTGGTAGTTCCATGTTTGATCATAATAAGATACCAGATGCTATTCTCAATTTAGCTGCTGATCTTGCTATAAATCAATTGGTTCAAATCTTACTTTCTGGGGATGATCATGCACTCAACATTCACCGTGTCATGTTTTGTACCAGAAATAATCCTGAACGAAGAGAAGTTTTAAGAAAAATGAAAGTAGTCCTAAAGGATATGGAGAAAATGCCTCGTTTTAATGAAGTCTTTCATGGAGTCTTGTGGGTTGATGTGTCATTGCATAAAAGCCAAGAACAAAAAGTAGAGGTCCTTGTTGGACGACATATATGCCAACAGCTTCAGCTTCTGAAGTCCAGGGAGACTACTCTCCCAAGTATGATCTACGAAAAATATGTGGTGATTTTGTTGGATGGGGATGGTCAGAAGGCTATAGATCTGCAGAAAGTGAGTTTGCCTGCAGGCATGTGTATGCCAGTTATGGTGCTGGTCACAACTGAATTTCAAAAGCAGGCAAATGATGAAAAACCAGGTGCAATGGATCTGACAATCAGAACAAAGGATCATTTGCTGCCATGGAAGGTCTTCTGTCAAAATGTATGCAATAAGCTAGTTTTTTCATCCAGTGCCATCCAGAAAATTGCAGTGCGTATAGTTCAAGAATGTGGTGGCCATCTTTTGGCCACTGTCCTTGTGGCAAAGTCGTTGAAGAAAGAGGAAGATGTCAAGCTTTGGGAACTTGCACTCCGCAAATTGCGTTCCCTTAATCCTGGTATATGTATTCAGGGGGTAAGCAAAGTTATGGTTACTACATTCATAAACTTCATCTGGAATGATATGAATCAAATGCTAAAGCATTGCCTGATGAGTTGCTTGTTCATCCCAGATATCAAAACTGGGAAGTTCTCAGATGAATTGATTCATCATTGGATTTCTTATCAGTTAACGGATGATCAAGAAGCTATACGTAACTTGAGAGAGCTTGTCGAACGCTCTATCTTAATCCAAGATCATACGAATATGGATGTCCAATTGCCGGAGGAAACACATGCTATTTTGCACTTGTTGAACAACCTAAACCCTTTGTTCATGAAAAAATCAGGGTTGGGGTTGATTGAGCCGCAAAGGATAAGCTATGGCATAGTGTTGTACATATGGAGCTTGCAAACAATAAACTATCTGAGCTACCTTTGTCACCAAACAGCCCTGAACTCAAAGTGTTATTGTTGCAAGGAAATGCTGATTTAACAAGAATGCCAGATATGTTTTTCTTTAAAATACCCTTACTTTGCATCTTGGACTTATCTTACACTAGTGTACGAGAACTACCAGACTCTCTATTTGAGTTGGAGCAGCTCATTGAACTATATATGAAAGGTTGTGAATGCTTCATGAAATTATCACCAAAGATTGGGAAATTGAAGAAACTTGAGAAGCTTGATCTTGATGGAACTCAAATCACCCATATGCCAAAAGAGATGCAAGAGTTGACGAATCTTCGAAGCCTGTTCATTTGTTTCTATGAGTATCGTGGCAAGAAAAACAAGCAATATACACAATCAACAATTATTCCATCCGAGGTAATCTCAAAACTTAAGGGGTTGAAACATTTAAGTATTGATGTAAACCCTGATGATGAGCGGTGGTATGAGAATGTACAAGATATTCTTCCAGAAATATTGGGATTAGAGCATTTGCTGACTCTTAGCTTATATATCCCACATCTGGAACTTTTGAAGTTCATAACTGACCGTGTCTATGAGGTTGATTTTAGATTTATTGTTGGTAGGCATGTGCAAAGGATCATATCAAGCACACCATCCACATGTGAGGCAAAATTTAAACAGAGTGGCTGTAGCTTGAAGTTTGTGAATGGTGGTGATGTTCCTTATGAAATTAAAGGGCTTGTTAGGCACAGCAAGGCCTTATTTCTGGAGAGACATAAGACAATCCAGAATCTATCGGAATTTACGATGATGAATTTAGAACAGTTGCGTGTATGTATGTTGGCAGAATGCAGAGAAATGCAAACAGTTGTTGATGGAAGACAACCGAATAATGGTAATCATACTCTCTCACATTTGCTATACTTACGCATATCGTACATGAAGAGTTTAAGAAGCATATGGGAAGGGCCAACGCCACCTCGCTGCTTTTTGGGTATGCTGAAGTCTTTAGTACTGCAAAATTGCCCTGAGTTAAAAGTTGTCTTCACCATGGACTTTTTGCGAAATCTTTCACTTTTAAAGGAGGTTATAGTTAAGGATTGTCCCAAAGTAACCACCTTGATAAGTGATGGATCATTTAGATATACAGGACAGATTTTCCTCCCTAAACTGAGCAAGATAATGCTTCTCCATCTTCCTGAGTTGCTCACCATTTCCAATGGATGTTACATAGGTCTAAATTTGGAAAAAATGGCAATTTATGATTGCCCAAAGCTCCAAAGCCTTTCTAAGATGGAACTGTCGAGCCAAAATCTGAAGCTCATTAAGGGAGAAACCAAGTGGTGGGACGCACTGCAATGGAGCAAAGAAGAATGGGGAATATCATACCAGCCATCCAAGTTTGATTGCATCTTTTCCTCAATTGATAATCAGGTTGACATAACTACTCAATTTGGGACAGATGATGATGACATTGATGATGATGCAGGTAATTCTGTTTTTTTTTTTTTTTTAATTTTCTCGTTGTGAATGACATGACCTATTTTACTTCCTTTAATAAGCTGATATTATACCTATAGCATTCCTATTTCCCTTAATTCCCTTGTTATTGTCTATCACAGCACATAAGACGCCGTTACAACCTTCACATGCGGACACAAAGAAAGATGCCGATAGAATGAGCAGGTATATATGCACAACTATATTTTATTTATTTCTATTCAGAAGCTTATACGAAAATTGTGATGCATTTTTCTAAGATGAATTCTTGTATTACAGAATGACTTTTTCAGTGTCTAAAAGAATATATGAAGGTCAAGATACTTTATATGATGGGTACAATTGGAGGAAACAGAAAGCATCGGTTGGATCCAAAAATCCAAGGTAGACCTACTTAAAATAGTAATACAAGGGAGTAAAAAAAAAAAAAAACCGGAGGAAAAAAAATACAGAGAAACTTAACTACTTCATAAGTTATGGATTTTATTTGGCTAACAGTGTGGGTCTTAATGCCTAGAAGATATTACAAATGTGTTCAGGGGGTTGCTCTGCCAGAAAGCAACTGCAGCAATCTACAGAAGACCCGACTACTGTTGGAATCACTTATGAGGGAAGACACACTTGCCCACAAGCCTCTCGCGTAACAGATTCCTCCATGAATAATCAACTTGACTTAACGGCTCAATTTGGGGAAGTTGATAATAAAGACTGTATAGGTAAGTCTTAAACGGTATTGGATTTTTATTTTATTGATGGTCATTGCTTCTGCGTCATAATCTATTTACTTCTTTAAATATCTCGAACACGTATCAATGATTCACATGGCAATTACTTAACTCACCGTCATTTGAAATACCATCACAACAGGTGGGACATTGGGCGATCAAAACAGGTACATACGCAAGCCAAGTCACGATCACGATGGAGGGTCCTGAGACACTGCATGAAATTTGTACGCATCTTGTCTGATGCAGCAAACAAAGGAAAGTATGAGGTCTTAGATGATGGCTATAGATGGAGGAAATATAATCAGGAAGTCATTCGGGGATCACCTACTCAAAGGTACCCACATATTTAATTCTCTATAGGGGGGAAAAATAAAACTCAATTATTACTTCAACAATTTTGCAACATTTTGTTTATACTATGTCTTATACAAAAATGAGAAAATTACTCTAATAATTATTCATTATTCATTATTTTGCTAAAATGTGTGGGGTTAATGTGTAGAAGCAATTACAAACGTGTTCAAGGGGGTTGCTCTGATAGAAAGCGACTACAGCAACCTGCAGAAGACCTGACTATTGTTGAAATCACTCCCCAGGGAAGACACACATTCACACAAGCCTCCAACGTAACAGATTCCTTCATGAATAATCATCACAAAGGTGGGATAGTGGTTGAACCCAATAGGTACCAATACATGTGTAACTCCCGATCACGATGGAGGGTCCTGAAACACTGCATCAAATTTGTTCGCATCTTGTCTAAGGCAACAACAACAAAAAGAATGATGGCTATAGATGGAGGAAATATAACCCGGAAGTTATTCATGGATCACCCACCCAAGGTACCAACCAATTTCAATTCTCCATATAAAAATTATAACAATTACTTTACTTTTAACAATTTTGCATCGTTTCGTTGATACCATGTCTTGTACATAAATAAGAAACTCAATTACTTCAATAGTCATGCGTGACTTTTCTAATAGTGAGTCGTGTTAATGCATAGAAGCTATTACATATATGTTGAACTCATATCAATGATTCCATGGAAATTACCTTATTTCACCTTGTTAAATACCATCACAGCAAGTGGGATAGCAAGTGATCATAACAGGTGCCTATACATGCATAACTCACGATCACGATGGAGGGTCCTGAAACACTGCATCAAATTTGTACATATCTTGTTTGATGCAGCAACAAAAGAAAGTATGAGGTCTTAGAAGATGGCTATAGATGGAGGAAATATTAATCAGGAAGTTATTCATGGATCACCCACTAGAAGGTACCCACATATTTAATTTTTTATAGAAAAAAAATAAAACCCAAGTATTACTTCAACATTTTGCATCATTTTGTTAATACTATGTCTTATACAAAAATGAGAAAACTACTCTAATAATTATTCATTATTTCGCTAAAAGTGTGTGGTGTTAATGTGTAGAAGCTATTACAAACGTGCTCAAGGGGGTTGCTCTGATAGAAATCGACTGCTGCAATCTACAGAAGACATGACTATTGTTGAAATAAATCCCCAGGGAACACACACTTTCACACAAGCCTCCCGTGTATCAGATTCCTCTATGAATAATCAGCTTCAGCTTGACTTAATGACTCAATTTGGAGTTGATATTGATATTAACAGTCATAAAGGTAAGTTTACTACTAATGTGTGCCATAACCTCATTCACTTCTTTAAATATCTTGAACACATATCAACGATCCACATGGAAATTACCTTAATTCACCGCCTTTGTTAATACCATCACAATAGGTGGGATATTTAGTGATCAAGACAGGTACATATGCAAGCAGAAGTCACGATCACGATGGAGGGTCCTGAAACACTGCATCAAATTTGTACGCATATTGTCTGATACAGCAAACAAAATAAAGATTGATGGCTATAGATGGGGGAAATATAACCAGGAAGTTATTCCTGGATCACCCACCCCAAGGTACCCACTAATTTAAATTCTTCATAAAAATAACTAAGACTCAGTAATTGCTTCAAAATTTTTGCATAATTTTGTTGATACTATGTCTTATACAAAATGAGAAACTTAATTACTTTAATAGTTATTCATTTCGCTAAAAGTGTGTGGTGTTGTGTCAACGTGTAGCAACTATTACAAAAGTGTTCAAGGGGATAGCTCTGATAGAAAGCAACTGCGGCAACCTACAGAAGACCCGACTATTGTTGAAATCACTCACGAGAGAAGACACACATTCACACAAGCCTCCTGTGTAACAGATTCCTTCATGAATAATCAGCTTGAGTTAATGACTCAATTTGGGATATTTGATATGAACGACCTTACAGGTAAGTCTGATACTTTGAGTGCCATAACCTCATTTACTTCATTAAATATGCTAAACTAATGATCCACATGAAAATTACCTTAACTCACCATCTTTCTTAAATATCATCACCACAGGTGAAATATAGTTGATCCCAATAGGTACCTATACATGCGTAACTCCCGATCTCGATGGAGGGTCCTCAAACACTGCATCAAATTTGTACACATCATGTCTGATGCAACAACAACAAAAAGAATGATGGCTATCGATGGTGGAAACATTACAAGAAGTTATTCACGGATCACCCACCCCAAGGTACCCACCAATTTCGATTCTCCATATAAAATTATAACACAATTACTTTAACAATTTTGCATGATTTCGTTGATACTATGTCTATACAAAAACGAGAAACTTAATTATTTCCAATAGTTATGCATTATTTTGCTAACAGTGAGTGGTGTTAATGCATAGAAGCTATTACAAATATGCTGAACTCATATCAATGATCCCATGGAAATTACCTTACTTATATCTTTGTTAAATACCATCACAGCAGGCGGTCACAACAGGTGCCTATACATGCATAACTCACGATCACGATGGAGGGTCCTAAAACATTGCATCAAATTTATATGTATCCTTTGTAAATCATCCAAAAAAATAAAGAGTGAGGTCTTCGATGATGGCTATATATGGAGAAAATGTAATGATGAAGTTTTCAGTGGACCATTCACTCTAAGGTATCCATCAATTTTAGTTTCTCCATAAAAAATTGAAACTCTATTACTTCAACAACTCGGGAACATTTTTCTGATACTATATATGTGTTGTAAACGCTCAGACGCTTTTACAAGTGCAAAGATCGCTCTGCTAAATACAAGTGAAAAATCTGATGAAGACCCAAAATAGTTGAAAGCACTTACAGAGGACAACAAAGGGGCAAGTCAGCCTCTAGTCCAGACCTTGAGTCATTTTCATTTTTGAAGATCCTGTCGTGGAAGATCCTGTCCCCACGTTTGTTGATGTTGAAATCACTTACGAGAGAAGACACCGACCAGCGTATAAGATGATGTCAAATCTAAAGATGTAAGTCAGTAGCAATTTTTTCAGTCCATCATATACCCTTGGTCGAGTTTTGACCACTCTATCTCTTAAAACTTCAGGTTGTGGATCTTGAGAAGCCTGCCGTTCATGATGATTATAAAGATGAAATTGCTCCTTGTCGTGTGGCCTGTGGATCCTCGTCCTCGATTAGATTTGAGCAAGTACTGTTTGAAGCCGAGCATCGGTGGCTGAGGCCTTCTGAAATCTGTGAAATTCTCCGAAATTATCGTAGGTTTCAAATCACTTCACAGCCTCCAAACAGGCCCCCAAGTGGTTCGCTCTTTCTTTTTGATCGGAGGGTGTTGAGATTCTTTAGAAGGGATGGACATAATTGGAGGAAGAAAAGAGATGGGAGGATGGTGGTGGAAGCTCATGAAAAGGTGAAGGTGGGAAGTACTAATGATGTGTTACATTGCTACTATGCCCATGGGCAGAAAATGAAAAATTTCAGAGGCGAACCTGTTGGATGCTTAAACTGAATATTAATGACATAGTTTTGGTCCAATACTTGGAAGTAAAGGGCATCAAACAAAAGCGCAGATCTCCGTCACCATCAAGCAGTACACATGCCATGAGCTCAACGAGTACTTTGTCTTCCTTACAAGACGTTGATTCAGGAGATCAACTTCTGGAAGTAATGGCAATCAACACAAGCGCAGATCTCCGTCACCATCAAGAAGTACACATGCCATGAGCTCAACGAGTACTTTGTCTTCCTTACAAGACGTTGATTCAGGAGATCACTTCTGGACATTGGACAGTCACCAATTCCTAGAACACACATTATACCCCACTAGTTCAGCGAGATTAAATCCAGAGGAAGCGGTTCATCTTTCGTACGTTGAGGGCCAAACGGTGCACGGAATGGCAATCCTGGGACATTGTCTTGTGCAATGTACTGATAAATCCCTAAATCACACTCTGATCCTTCTCTCTTTCATCGTTTGCTTCCGTTCCATTCTGATCTGTTTTTGAGGAGGTGGGGACATCACAGTCTTTATCTTTCTTTCCTATCCTCTTGCTTTCCTTCTTGCACATCACGTCTTCATAATCAATCTAGAATTTACGGGGAATTGTTTATCTTGCTATACTAATTTGTAATAGGTTGGATAATAGAAGTTGGCTGAGTTTATCGCTGTGTTACTTTATGCCTCTATCAGCAAAGTATATTTTGTTTTCATAATAGTGATTCATTTTTCTAAGATTTATGTCATTTTACAGGGTTTGAATTCCACAATTATAATTAATATAGACATTAAATGTCTGTACTATTTGAATTGTAAAAATTTTAGATTAATTTTTTTAAATTTATATCTTATTTAAATTAATAAATAAATAAGTTTATTTAAACTGTTG